CGCAGGCTGCTGGGGGGCGGCGCAGCCCCCTCTGCCAGCTCTGCCGGCGGCGGCAGGAAGGAGCTGCTGCCCCTTGCGCACCGGACTGCGCGCCCCTGGACTCGGGACTGGCCGGCCAGAGTGGCCACGCTCGGTGCCTCACCTCACCTAAGCTGTGATGAGCCCCTTCAGCCACTCCAGATTCCGGCCGTTACGCTAGCTGACATCCAAAGTATCAGAAATAGCAAGCCTGAGGCATGCGTTGCTAAATATGGAATAGGAACAAGAGAGAAGGATGCACTTACCAAATCTGAGACAGTGCCACTGTCACTAGCAGTCTTGTTTTGCCTCTGGATGTTTATTGAGGAATAATTCAATGGCACTGCACTCTGGGGAACAAGTTGAGAGAGGCAGTCTGGGTTCAGTGACTTGTATGTATTACATTCACTTCCTTTTTCTTTTTTTTTGTGCAATGCCAATACCACAGAATAGGGTAATTTGGACATCTATGCGTAAGACGATCCTTTAGCAGAGGGTGTTAATAGCAGCAGGACAACCTGTGCCAAACGACCCTGGGAGCTGAGTCTTGAGGTTGTAAGAGCCCCCTCTCTGTACTTACGCGGCTGTGACCCCTCCTTCGCCATGGCCGCCACTGCGTCCTCTTGGCTCGCAAAATGCACATCCGCTTCTCCTGTGGCATCACCGTGGGAGTTGTATTCTACCATGATCCTTGTGGGCTTCAGCGGCGCAAAAAACTAAAAAAAAAAAAGAGGAAAAAAAAAAACCCTATTAAAAACAAAGCACCCTATTAATGAGAAACCCGATTTTTTTTTTTACTCGTAAAGCCTGTCCAGCTATGGGGGGTGCTGTGTCTGAGCTCTTGCGAAGCAAAACACCCCCCTTCATCTGGGTGAAGCCCAGGCACACCCAAGCCCCCCGTCCCACGCTGCACAGCCTCCCGCCCTCTGCAAGCTCCTGGCAGAGAAATTCTTGTCAGGAACACAAATCCTGACACAGCACGGATGTGCTGTACACGTCAAAGTCATTCCGTGCAGGTACATTCGCTCTGTGATGCTGTATACTATTAAAACGAAGTAAAATTGAGATTGAAAAGATTCTGTAATTCGTTTTTGGACAATCGGTTACTCTGAAATCGAGCTAAGATTATAAACGGCTACTCAAGTCAAAGCGACGGATATTAAGACAGCCCAGGAAGCTTTAACCCATTCTTATTAACGGAGGCGAGCGCATCGCTGCTGTGCCCCGGCTACCCCGGGGAGCCTGGGACCCTCCGCAAGCTCCAGCTTCCGAACACACTCAGCCTGAAACCAGATGGCACTGAGACCTAACACGGACGCGCTAAATAAAAAATTTAAGTCGTTTCAACTGTAACAATTAATGAAGGGTTTGCATTGGTAATTTCATTCATAGTTTTACTGTTACTCACATTTATTATGTCTTGAGCACTAGTCTGGGTAGGGAAACCCCTCACATGGACAAAGTGCAGCGGTGATGAGATGTTCCCAGATTCTAAAACGGACCCGGAGTTTTCTGTTCCTTCCCTGCACAATTCTGTGGAATGGAGGGAAAAAACCCATCATTAGTGCTTGCAATTATCACCTCCCCCACGTGAAAGCTGTAGACATGCGGGGTGACGTTCACAGCAGACAGTGAGAGTAAACCGAAGGGGCCTCAAAGAACACACGCGATGGGGAGGGACTCACTGTTTTCTCTGTCAGCATCAGAGCCTCCTGTGCTGCTCAATCCCCTTTCTTCAGAAACAGCTTCATGTTCTCTTCTCACTCTGGGGTAGGTCACCATGTGCTTGTGGTAAGGCACGTGCCTTTGCATTTGATGCTTTCTACTTATGTACACTTCTATATATCTAAAATTCAAAGGAAAAGATTACGTGGCACACGTGGCACCTCTGCAAAGAACTCAAGGGTTTGTGAAAGCACCATTACTTCAGGACGTTCCTCTATCTCAGCTCTGCTCACGTACTAGGCGAGAGCGCCGTGGTACAGAATCACAGAATCTCCAAGACTGACAAAGACAATGGTCTGGAAGAATTCATGCATTTAAATTGCAGTTACGTTTATAAAAGCCCTCTTCCACTTGCGTTGACAGCCACTCTCTGGTATAAACCCACGGATTGTGAGACATTACCGATTTGGTCTGGACATAGTCTTTAGTTTACAGCCTTATGTACAGTTATTGTAGAAGGTATCAATTGCTTCCAAGTCAAAATTCTGTTCTGTCGCAGAAATACAGATTTATTTCCTCTGAAACATGTTTTCTAGTTCTTTCAGTAGTATGCATCCCTTTTGAGCAGCGCCGTACGCGAGGCTCTTTTCCCCTCATCGCATCTCTGCAAACTGCGCTATTCTCACCTCTGCAAACCCCAAATTAAAAATCAACACCCAACCCCAAAACAAGTCACTGAAACTGGCCGACACACAAGATGCACAACATCATATTAAAGACTGCAGTGGAGCCATAAGATTTTAGGAAGATTTTAAGATATGGTTATAAAAGTGGTGGGATAAAATGTGACAAGGGGTGTGTGAAAGTCATGGGTATTGCACCCCACTATGTAACGCCACGTGAAAGGACTCTAGCAAGATCCTGCTTACACCACAGAAAGAAAAAAAAAGAAAACAACCCCCTAATTGCAGGTTTAGTAAAAGTACAACATTATAATGCCTTTTTCTAATGCCTTTTATTTGTGCCTGCCTACCCCAGGCCCCGGTAACTCAGAGCTGCCTGCGCTCATCTTCCAGAGTGCCGGCAACACTACCAGCTGGGCCGCAGAAAATGCACTACCAGTGTTAAATTAGGCAATTTCCACAGCAGTGAAAGAATGACGAGATGAAGAAGCTCCAGTAAGACAAGTATCCCCCTGCAGAGGCCGAGAGAGCTCACAGCTCAGCCCTCAGGAACCCACACTCAGTGGCTGAACCCCATTTCTGGTTAAAACTCATCGTCCCGGAAGACTGAATGAGAGCAAGGTGACAGCACGTTTAGAAACCGCTCAGACTTTTGGTTAATCACACAGGAACAGAGGTGTACGAGGTCGGGCAGGTGATTCAGATCAGCTCTTCTTTGATCGTGATGAAGCAAAAATTAATGGCAGATTGAGAATTAATTAACTGCTATTGGAGGGTAGGGAAGGATGTCAGTTAATTCAATTATTTGGCACACCTACAGAGCAGCCGTTTTCTATTAATATGGGTGGGGGGACAATCACAAGGAAATGCAGACAGGGAACAGGAAATAGAAGGAAGTAGATGCTGTGTAGAAGTGATAAGGATTAGAGAGCTCTTTCGCTACGTGGTATTCAGAGAAAGAACTCAGTGGGTTATTAAAGAAAAGTCCGAAGCCTCAACAGCTTAAAAGCAATCTGTGTTTGGGGTTTTTCTCCTGACTGTAGCTCAGCATTATGAGAAGAGGAGGTATATGTTTCTGCTTGAGAAAGAGAGACTCTTGTAAGAGAGTTGTGGGGTATAGGGCTCAGTGCTCTGGAAGAAAAAGGTTAAACCTGGGTTCCTGAGGAAGCAGGACAACCCAGGTGGATGCGGTCACCAGAGAGAGAGAGACTACTGTGTGGTGTTGGCCAACAGTCAGCGTGGGAGTGGATTCAACCCAGAGGTGAGTGGTAACTGTGTTTCATACAATGTACTCTCCAAGTTGAGAACGAAGGGAAGGGTGAGGGTTGCCGAAACTGTGAAAGCACCAGGGAACCCAGTGGAAATTCGGCAGGGGCAAACGGCTGTAGGAGGTACAGGATCCCTGTGCACTTGTGACTGGGCAGGTGGTGTCTATCTAGTGTTGTCTGCTCCAAATGCCATCACCCCACTTTTGTTGGGATGAGAACTCCTTCAGGAATGCTTAAAACAAACTGAGACTTTCTCTGAGAGGCCCCAAATTCCCCTAAGATATGACCTCAGGTGGTGGCCCTGCAGTGCACAGAAACCTGCAAAAGGCTTTGTCTTCTTTTCTCTAGTTTTGACAAATTTCTAAAGAAAACCTCACCAGAGGAGGCAACACTTGAGTTACACACAGTATTTCAGAGGGTGCTATTAAAAAAAGAAATGTTTTAAGCCACAAAGTAACAGTCTGACAACATGATGAGAAAGGCTTTAGCTATAATTTCTACTTTGAATCTGAAGTCGGAGTTCTACATTTTAACGGCAATAAAGGCAGAAGCTTCCTTAATAACAATGTGAGTACAGCATAGTCTCAGGTTAGCGATTTCACCCAGTAAGAAGCAAGCTGTGAACAGCACAGCATGGTTCCACCATGTTGTTCTAACCTCGTGAACCCCAGTGAAGTACTTACCTATTTCCCATATATTCCCGGTGTCGTAACAGGGCTTTAGCTGCCATTTGAGGAGCTGCGAACTGCACGAAAGCTTCTCCTGTTCTTCTTTCTCCCCGGTAAACGAAAGCTATGTCACTAATTTTCAAACCTATGCAAGGGTGGGGCGAAAAAGGTTTTTATATCGTCAGGAACTTCTGCCATAACTCATTGACACACCTTTTTTCCTTATTCTCCTGGTTTTTGACAAGCTAATCGGGCAGCTAATAGTTCTGAAACTACTCCTCATGCTGGCCTGCGTACCTTTTTTAATTTTTTTTAACTCAAATTTAGTGTATTTAAGTTGGTTTTCAGAGAAGGCTTAATTGCCAATAATGAATTGACTTGAGGCTTCAAGTAACTATGAAAAGAAGTGAATCTAAGTTCGAGACAACAAAGAAGTCAGAACACAAGTGTTCCAGACATTTTCTCCTATTATGGTAACTTTTTCCCCATCTGTTTAAAACCCAGCTCAAACTTACTGAACTTCAGTTTTTGTACTATGTATCTTTTTGGGGAGCCTGAAATCCACTAAACGGCTCTATCTGACATGATAAGGAGTGCACACTAGGCTGAGCTCCTATTTTTTTTTTTTCAGGAATGCGTTTTTGCGTACCTCTTTGCCTTGCTAGTTTCTCAAAAGGTCTCTTCTAGCTCCTAAGAAAAATAGAAACACTTGCTGCACAGTGCTGCCCTAACCATCTCATTGGGTTAACTCTGCTACTAGATGCCTTCAAACGCATTGGAGTACTGGTTATCAACTGGGAACTTTACGATCGGTGGCCTCTGTGTTTGGCATGATGGTGGTTAGAGAGTCTCAGTGCTGTGGGACTCTGTGCGCGTGCCTACCCGGAGTGGAAGAAGTTGGGGAGAAGAACTGGTTTTGGTTTAGTCTACAACTTAAACCTTACCTAAGGAAATGTCAATTTATTTTGCAAAACCTAGAAAGGCTTCTTTCCTAATGAATGCAGGCAGCTACCGCCTGGATCGCTCCAGCACTGAGTGTGGGACGTGAGTGCACACACACAGAGACACACACACACACACTGGGCAGTACCACCTCAGCTGGGAACTGCTGCAGTTAACATCCACAACCATTAACAAGCCAGCAATAAAAAAAAAATGTTGTAAACAGTTTTAAGAATGGTATACAAGATCTAACTGTCATGATTATATATCTGTGAGTATCTACGCTGCCTTCAATTGTACTTTAATTATCATACAGGCATTTTCCCCCCTCTTAACTTTGATAAATTACGCACTGGTAGCAATTAAATTGCAGATAATAGGATTGAGGTTCCTCCTCTCTTTCCTTCCCCCACCTCAATAAGAGTGCTGCAAGTACTGATCCCAGGTTAGACCTGCAGAAAGGCAAAGGTCCAAGAAAGCCTTGTGGCCAAAAGCTTGCTCAGCTTTAGTTACTTCTAGCTGCAGGGGGACAGCAACTCCTTATGTTTCAGGTATTCAAGGCTGCTTGTGCTTTTGTGTTTTCTCTTTTGACTTAGAGGAACAAGAGCCTAGCTAAGCATCAACTAGGAAAAGTAAACGCCTCATAATCAGAAAGGACAGACTAGGCTGAGTTACCTGAGAAAAAATCTGCAATATCCTCCTCAGTGGAGCTGAACGGAAGGCCTCTGAGTAGTACGACTCCATCACTTACGGCTTGTGACTCATCCCGCAGACTTCGTAGTAAGCCCTCTACATCGCTATCGTGTACTTCAAAAACTGCAAGGAGTACAGACACAAAACAAGTTTTCCCTCACGGTATTCAGAAGGTGGCACTCTTCAAGGCAGCTTTTTCCCCTCTGCAAAACTTGACGTTTCCTCCCCCACCCCATACCCTCTGATCCTGCAATGGTGCCCCTACTACAGAAGCCACTTTGCTTTTCCTGTCCAGCCTAGAAAGTTTGGGCTTCATAGTCCTTTGTCAGCTAACTTGCTGCTTTGTTCCACATCCTGCGCTTCTCTGCACCAGCCCACTTTATTCAAGCAGTTCTTATTCACTTTCTCCTGAGTTCTCTTCCACTCTAACTTCGGTCATTTCAAACCCACCTTTCACATAGCGTGGGCCCATATACCTCAGGTGCTTTTCCAAGGCCCTCTGGACATCCGCTTTCGACTCTAGCTCGATCAAGGCATCCCCCCTGCGTCTCCCATCCCTGTTTAAGAGGAAGTGTATGCCGTTCTCACCATTTCGAATTCTACAGCCTAGAAATCAAGGAACACACGATACAGAAACATACACAATGGCATCAAACATGAGGGTCTTTTGACTGCAGAGGAAAAACTGAATATTCTGCACAGAGCCATCCCCCCTCAGTATAGCGAAATACTGTCTTGAAACAAAGGCTAGGAAACTTCTATTTCTAACCTGAACCCCAACACTCAATGCTTATCACAGAAATGAAATTGATCTGATAGCCACTGGCTTCCACATCTGTGTAACTGGATAACACGCATTCTCATTTTGTTGCTGAAATTCATTGTTTGAGTTATTTGAAAACAAAATCAAATAGTCTTCTGGTCTCTATAGCTATACTCTGCCTGCTTTATGTTCCCTTCCCCTAAGACTTCAAATTGACCTAATCAGTTTGCCTGGTTACTAAACCATTTGAAGATGGAGATCTGACAATCTAGCCTGCTCTGGGAGGATGCATCGTAATATCATAGCACAGAGGGATCAGCCCTGCAAAGGTATGTAGAAGCCCATTAAATAGGATCAGAAAGCAACACTTAAGTTTAAACTGCTAAGTAAAAACCACACCAGTATGTCTGAAGGAGAGCAGTTGGGGGGGGGGGGGGAAGCCAACTGTGCTGGTTTTAAAAAGACCCACTTTGGATTGGACTGCTTTTACTCTGGAGATGCGGACTAAGAAGGGAAAGACTTACTCAATTAAATATAAAATGCCATCAGGATGAGTTTCTAGTTACTGTCCAGCAGTTTGGACATTATTTGTTTTACGTGTATAAATCACAAGTAATTTTGCAGTGATACTAAGAACTCATGTTTCTCGGTCTAATGATCTTTACATTTTCCTTGCATTAACTAATCATTAACTACTGGGTTCAATAACATGATGCTGAACAGTTAGGCGGGAAAATTAACGCCCGTACTATCAAAAAAGGTAAGCACGTCTTCCTCGGTGCAGGAGAAGGGGAATCCTTCCGCCCTGATGAGAAAGACATTGTCATTTTCGGCCGTGGGTGACTCGGGCTCCTGCTGGGAGAGGTGACCTTCCTGAGATGGTGCATCTGTAACCTGCCAGCAAACAAACAAACAAAAAAAAAAAAGCCAAAGTGAGAAATTGATGCGTTGGGCTTTGAGCAGCGGTGGCCGTTTAGGTGCACCTTTCTGGGCAGCGCGGCGGTAAGGGGACCCTTTTGGGGTGGAAGACAAGGAGGACCGAGGGCCACTGGCTACAGCCGCCTCCCCCA